ACTAGACAGAATAGCAGTAACCAATTACAGAGCAAAGAAAGCTGATGTTTAAGTGAAAAACAGTGGATCCATGCTCAGGAACCGGGGGCAGTGGGTGGAGGTGAGGGTAAAGGGTGGGATAAAAACAGAAGATTGGCTGAGAGTCTGTACAAGAAGCAGTTAGACCTCCCGGTCCCCTCCCCAGCTTATGGAGACAGGTGACTGACCCTAACAGGGACAGGTAGTGCACTCCCTGAGGATATTAAACCAGAGAGGACTTGGACTCGGAAACACTGGTTGACACAAAGAGCTTGTATTGAATACGTCTACATACTGAATGCTGAAGCCCCAAAGACAATCCCTGTATTCTGCTCCAAGAATACTGGCAGCAAGTTCTCACCCCAGACACAGGCAGCAGATTGTTAGGAGTCTTCTTCAGAAAAGACACAAGGTCCCAAAAGAAAGACCTATAGAAACTGACATCCGGACACCCCAACGGAAGAACCAACTCTACTTGGTTCTTCTATAGCTGAGCTCACGAACCAGCAGACTCTGGGCACTCACACTGGAATGTTCAAACAACTCTCTAGTACTTTCCTCTTAAATATGAACGGACAGTGAAGATCACCATGTACTTAAGAAAGTCATCCAACTGAAAAAACTGAGGCCAAAATGGCAAAAAATTAACTCAGAAGAGATTAAAACAACTCCTAGTAAAAGAAAAATTTAAGATGCCTACAATCAATTCCCCAAAGAGAACAGACAGTGCTTTCATGAAATAACAATAGGATCCCAAGAACAAAACAAAGCTCTTCAAAATTTAAAAATACAAAGTCACACATTTTTACAATTCCAGTTAAGGAGCAGAAATCAAAGAACTTCCCCAGAAAGGCAACAGAGAAAGAGAGAAGTTTAGAGGGGAAAAAATAATGCAAATAAGAGGATCGATCCAGATCTAACAACCAATTAGCTGGAATTCCAGAAAGAGAAAACAGAAAAAAAGGGATAAAAAGAATCAAAGACATTAAATCAAACAAAACGAGCCGTCTAGACGTGCTGGAGCACGAGCTTCTCCCTGGACTGACAGCGCCTCCCACGGTCTAGCACAGGAGGGAACAAGCAGCCCGGGGCATTTCACTGCAAAGTTTGAGAACAGCAGAGATAAGGAGACGGCCCCCAGGGTTCCAGGGTAAAGAATCAGAAATCAGAACAGCACTGGACCTCGCACTGGCAAAAAAGAAATAGGAAAATGAAACAGTAACTTCGAATTTCTGAGGGAAAATCATTTCTAACATGGACATCTAGATTGTATTTGCTTCCCACGGCTGCTGTAGTATTATTACCACTAACTGGGTGGCTTAAAACAACAGCTGTTTATCCTCCCACAGCTCCTACCTGGCAAGACCTCACCTCCTGAGGGCTGGAGGGGAGAACCGGCTCTCCGCCTCCTCCAGCTTCTAGTTGTGGTCGGCATTCTTCCACCTGCATCTACCACCCCAACCTCTGCCTCTGTGGTCACCTGCCTCTTCTGCTTCTGTCTGTCAAATCTCTCATGTGCCTCTTATCAGGATATCTGTCACTGGATTTAGGGCTCATGTAGATAATTCAGCACAGTCTCTTCATCTCAAGATCTGTAAGTCAATTACACCTGCAAAGACTCTTTCCAAACAAGGTACATTCACAGCTTCTGAGAATTAGGACATGGACTTAGCATTTTGGGGGCCACCATTCAACCCACTACATATATCCAGCCAACACATCAGTTAAAGTATGAGTTAAAATAAAGCATGCCCTTTCCCAGAAAGCTACTGGTAAATGTAACCTCATCAAAGTGAGGGAGAGAGCCGAGAGAAAGTAAGACATTTAGTCCAAGAAACAGAGGCTACTGCACAGGAAAGAGGCAAAGGGAATTCCCAGGAGAGTAATAAAGCCAAGCTGAAAACAGTGTATACCAGGTAAAAAACAATCAGTCTAGCTTGCACCAGGATGACCAAAGCAGGCAGTACTGAGCAGGGTTTACAGTTCCTCTGAAGAGTACTGGAAGACTCTGATGCATAAAACTGAGCAAACGAAAAAGAGAGGCAACTGTTAATTCCAGGAAAACAAAAACTGTAAGAAATTATGTTAAAGAAAGAAAATATCATTGTCCATTACTTTGCTCAGCAGTGAACAATGCTGACACTGAATACTGATTTAGCCAAAAACATGACCATACTATACTGGAAGGACTACGTATGAGATGGATGGGAGGGAAGGGATGCTAAGAATGTCAACTCCCTATCTGCCACAAAAGATGATATCTAATACTGATAATGAAATAGTATAAACATTATTTGATACATGGAGGTAAATACTAGGAGAAAGATCTTTTACCTTAAGGTGAGGGGACAAGACAAGGGGTGGGGGGTGGGGAAGGGTACTGGCTATTTTATTTAGTCATAGTTCACTTCTGAGACTGTGCTCCTATTGCTTTGAAAATAAAATTTTAAAAAATTTAATTCAGAAAAAAAGAAAAAAGGCTTGGAGAAAAGTAACTTGTTTAGGGCCATAAGGAAACATTTGTCAAAATGTCAAAGTTCCTGTATCTTGCAGGAGTATGCAAATTCTTGAAAAGGGGTTCTTAAGAATAAATTCCCAAGTCATAAGTGTTCCTAAGGAGTCAAAAACAAATGAACAAACAAGCAAACAAACAAAAAAGCAAACCACACACAGCACCAATAGCACTCCTAAGGCATGTTGACTATAACGGATCCAACCTCTATGTTACAACTCTTCTCAGCTTTGCTTATTATAAAACTGCTGACTCTTTTCCTGTTTTTGAACTTTAACGTCACAGCCATGAATAACAGGTATAATCAGGTAAATGGGCTGAAGAAATAGTGAAGGCATTTCCAGACTGGTATCCTCAGACAGCTGCCAGTGAATCCAGCTGGACTCTAATTTTAAAGATTTCACAGTATTAGGAATACAAGATTAAAAGCCTGTGTTCTGAATACAATTTGCCCAGAAAAGAGACAATGAGCAACGTCCATAAAAGCTCTTCTGTCAGATTGTAGGAGAAGAGAAAGAGCATCTTTTAGGAAAAGGCAGGGAAGTAATGGTGCCAGGACAAGGTAAAATAAGAGAAAAAAGGGAAACCTTATTCTCTACTTAATTAATATCATCCTTTATCCAGTTCATTGATGTCTGACTAGTGTTTTGGCACACCAAATCTATTCCCACCTTGGCCTTCCCTCCCTCTCTTCAATTCAAGTAACCTACATAGACCTACTCATCTATGTCTTAAATGAATAATTCAGTTACTTCGAAATTCTCTGCACAAACAGGGACAGACACTTAACTTATAGTCTGTTGTACCAAGTGTCACTGATGATAACCAACAGTCTGGACATACTAATCTGGACTTTGTATGTTGCCATGGTAATCTCGTTTACTTATCTACTTGAAGTCATGTGTCTATCCAAATTTTAACACTTTAAATGATACAAAGGTAGCACCTGGTACAAACAGGTACTTAATATTTCTCCATAGATATAAAATCAAAATGAAAACAAACATCTTTAAAAGGAAGAAATGTGCCAGGGTATGGCTGGCATGGGGTAGATAGTTCTACAAACAAATTACTTTCAAAGCAAAGCCACTTCGGTTTAAATCTCAAGCAATTTTTGACCTTGTTGCAGATTAATACTATGCCTGTGATGACAGAAGTAGAAGAAAAGAAAGTAAAGGGCAAAAGAGCAAATGGTAAGAAAGAAAACGCAATGATGCCATTGAAAAGAGCCTTTCATGCATTTTCATAAGTCATGGAAAAAAAAAATCCCAAAGCAAAATCAAAAGCTTCTATTAAAAGTTACTTTGAAACCAACAAGAGGAAAAAAAAAAGTCTTTCTTTTCCCATTTTCCCATTAGCTCTTTCTAATCCAATGCTGCTGGATCTTTCTCCAATTCTTACAGTCAAGTATCCTTAGTGAGAACACAGCCTGTTAGACTTCTAACCAAAAAGTGTAAATCCCCAAACATGGCGTTCATGTGTTTATAATTACTTCTTTTTTTTTAAGACTATAATTACTTCTGACAACACTTTAAAATGGCAGCATCAGTGAGCACCACTATTACATAAACATACAAAATTTAAGTCCTTTGATTTTCAAGAGAGAGACAAAGCATAAACAGCTTAGAAAACTTTTGTCAAAATCAGGTAAAATGGCAACTTAATCAAGGAACTTGAAAAATACTTCAATCCTAGGCTAGCAAGAAATTCCTAGCTGCTCTTCTTGCCAGAGTTTCTACTGTTTTCCTAAAGCACAAACAAAAAACTTATGACAGAAACTCTTACTTCCTGACTGAAGTACTCTTTGTTGGCAACAGAAACCAAGCCATCAAATACAACTATGTACTTTGCTTTAATTTAAAAAAAACCGCAGCCCTTTTGAGAGTAAAGCACATTTCAGAACCGTCAGCTGGTACATTAAAAAGAAAGCTATTGGGGTTCACAGGTCAAAGGGCTGGAGGAGTAAAGTTTCATGCCGAAGATGGTGAAAAGTATTTACGTTCTTCACATCCCAGCCAGCCAAGTAACACCAAAGCTGCCTCAGCACGAGGATGGATTCTCACAGTATTTCCCAAAGCTGCAATTCTTCATTTTAGAAGTTACACACCATTACAGTTCCCGCTGTGGGTTAAAGTCTCAACTGAAGCTGCATCCCTCCCTCAGGCTGCTAGTTCACAAGATGCACAAAAGGCAAGATATCAGACGGGAGGCAGGCGGCTCTACCTCTAAGAACGTTATCTGAATCCACTGGTCCCTGAGTTCTAACAGCAAGGCCATGACATCTGTAATTGGCAACTTTCATACTAAATAAACTATCATGAAAGGGAAGAAAACAAACTTTTAAATTAGGCGTGAGCATGTAGAAATTTTAAGAAAATCTGAAAAAAAAAATCCTGTAACTCCATGGTATGCTTTTTCACCTCAAAACCCTAAAAGCTAAAGTCTGATAAATCCTATATAAAAGTCTTACCTGTTTGGCTTTTGAGTTCTTTCCAGTTGAACTTTTCTCATTTGTACTTCCATCCATCCCTCTCAGGACACTGATGAAATCTTTCTTGGAAACAGTTGATATTAACTTAGCACGCTTTCTAATAGAGCCTCCAGCTTCTTTAACCTTTTCATCAACGTTCTTCTGATGCTTCTGAACAGCGTTGAATAACTGCACCACACCCCTACGCAGCATAAAATGACCAGAACGACGTAGTTAAACAACATTACACTAGGACACAAACTCTGAGGATAGGAGTGATGTATTTTTACCGCTCAGAAAAGAGGCAGTCATTTACCAGGCACTCCAGTGAAAGGCACTGAATAAATCTGAAAAGCGTACACTTCAATGCGTGAATATAAATTTCTGAATAGAGAATAAATATACATGGATTGACTTGTGATTTTTCCCCCCAGCTTTGGTCTTTCTAAATCAACTTCAGTACAATTAGAACTAAGATGTTTTAACACAAATAAAATATACAGTGGTTGAAGGCTGCACGGTATAAATGGAACGAGCAGTTAGCTGTCTAATCATCTGATTCTCTTAAAGATTTTCTGATCTCGGTTTTACCTGGAAATGGGAAAAACAATACGAAAGAAGCCTAAAAAGTATCCAGCTATATTATCTGCAACTCTTATGATATAAAACTAATTAATAAAATAATTTATTTGAAGTACTTTGTCCTATAGTTAAGTTGTTCAGAGAGGGATAAATTCTGAAGACTAGGACCCGTGATGTCCATTACAGTAGCTACGAGCCACACATAACCAGCGAACACAAGAAAGAGGGCCACGAAGAACGGCGGTGTGCTCCACGTTGAAAATACACACTGGATTTTGAAAACTTAGTATGAAAAAGGGAATTTTAAAATCCCATTAGTAATTATTTTATAGTGATTACATGCTGAAATAATAATTTGAACATACTGCGTTAAATAAGATTTATTACTGAAATTAATCTCACCTCTTTAACTTTTTTCAATGTGGCTACAAGAAAATTTTAAATTACATGGATGGCTCACATTATATTTCTACTGGACAGCACTGTTTAGACCACTGACATCCCTTCCAGCTCTAAAATTCTACAACCTATTAATTTTCCTGCTATAGTAATCATTGTCAGAGGCAATCTGCCACAGAGCATCCCTGCATACCCTTGGGGGGGTTTTCAAAAATGCGAGGCCCCAACTGCTCCTTACCCAGGCCATGTCTCAGGCTTGTGTTTGCAGCATGCAACCTTGAGGGATGAGGTAATGTCTCCCCCAAGACAAAGAGCAGGCTTGTTACCTTTCACCAGAAAAGCAATAGATTCCCGGGTACAGTGTCTCTCTCCTGTAACACAAACCACTGCACGCAAGGCATCCACTGAGGGCACCTGTGCGTCCCCAGGGGACAAAGGGAACCAGTGGGAACGTGAAGCCCTGGCTACCGCTGACGCCCTGAGTAACAAAGTCCTTTGTCTCTGACCCAGAAGTCTCTTGTCTTGTGCCAGCATCCGAGAAACTTTAACAAGCTAGCTTATTAGTTTATGAGGGTAAAATTCCATCCGCTTCACAGAGGGCTGGGACCAAGGTGAGGAAAGTGAGATGCCCAGAGTATAATATTTAAGGAGGCACTTACTCTCTGGCACCACTCCTGCACTCTTCTAAGTTCTGCATGGGTATTAATTTATTTACTTCTGAGAGAAATCCTACAGGGTGGGTATAATATTCCCCGGGTTTTATGGATAAATATACGGAGACGGAGAGAAATTAAGTAAGCGCCCAGGGACACAGCTAATACCTCAGTGCCGGGATAGGTCAGCAACCTGGCTCTGCTGCTCACTCTGACCCAACCAACCTGTCTCACCGAACAACACCCAGATAGATTAGAAGATGATCAAAATAACGCAGGGAACTAGGAAGTTAACGGTAATGCACTAACTGTAACTGCTATATTCTTTACAGAGCAAGCCAAACGTCATCTCCTCTGGGGAGCCTTCCTCGACTCCCCTACACAATCTCCCATTGTATGTTCCCAACACACAGGACTTACCTTTATTCTCAGAGTGACTGCTGCAGGTCAGTGGGCAAGGCCCATGCAGCAGCCACCAGATCCTCTTTATCTCTGGACACAGAGGGCATCAAACGTTTGGTGCCAACGATAAAAAAAAATGCAGAGTGACAGGACAGTGTGAAGCTGCTATACCAGGAATATAATGCAAGGCAACAACAATAATCACCTAGTGCCATAAATACGACAACCATCGTAAGAGAAAGGCAGTAAGAGGTCTGACTGTACTGTTCTCCTGATGATAAAACACAAGATGATCTGAAAAAGGTTCATACCAAATATACACTTAGCACATTATACTCTGGCCTCAGGAGACCCCCACAATCTGTGGCTGAATCCAGTATTAAATAGGCAGGCTTAGAAAGAAATCACTTGGCTCTGAGAAGGCAAAGCTTAAGAAGCAAATCTAGCCAGGAACGGATGGACCGCTATCAAAGCTTTAGTGTACTTAAAGGGCAAACACACTGTCTTACCTCGTTGCAATCCTCTGGAGATTTCTCTCTGTTTCTTTGTCTTTGACAACATCTGGCTTTACTCTGCACATCATTTCCCATTCCCGCTTCTTATCAAGCTGTGTTATAAATATTGTTATGCGAAAGAATATTAGGCATTTTTGAAAGTGCAGCATACTTTGACACGATCCTCTGTGAGAGGACAAAGGTAATAAATCATTCCAGCTTAGTCTGTCACGGGGACTTTCAAACACCCACACTTTTAGGGGCTCGGCTCAGGGAGCCTGTGGTTAGCACTCCGCGTGTCATGTGAGAGGCGCCAAGTGAGTTTCTGTCAGGCTCTCTGACAGCAGGGGCCTGGAGCGCCGCCAGCACAGAGCAGGCGGGTCAGGGCGGGGAGTGAGACAGCCACGTTCCTGACCTCCCATCACCAGATCCGCAGAGGAAGCGGCAGCAAGACTCCACACTACCCTCTTTCACAACCGCAAGTTTAGACAGTGTTTCTCTTTACTTTTAGAAACCGACTTCCTCAGCAGTCAGAATTATTAAGAATTTATATCAGCTTTTAAAAGAATGGCATCATTTCCAGATATATGCTATTTCTACAGCGACTACCTTTCTTTTCTCTCTGGCACACCTGACCAATGTCCTCACCACACATGGCCTATCAGTCACAACTACCGCAAGCTGACTCTGCTCTACTGCAGAAACAGAAGGGGGTCAGGAAATAAGAAAGTCCCACAGACAATATAATCTAATTCAAAATTGTTTTCAGGGAGTTTCATGGTCTCAGGTATTTGATCTGATGCATTGCTTCTCCAGGTCCCCTTTCTCAGGATACACTGAATATGGTGAGCTAATCAACAGGAAGCTGGTGGGCATCAGAGCCCGTAATAAGAACCAGGGGGAAAAAGCCTCCTTTTATCTCCTCTTTTTCCCCATCCATCTAATCTCTTATTTCGTATTAATGAAAATGTCTAATCATGGTAAAACCAAATCTTTGCTCTTCCTATAAAGATTACTCCGATTCCTTTTTAAAGGAATAGATTCTTCTCCAAATCAGATCATTTAACTATCATGAAATTCACTATCAGATTATGCCAGAAATAAAAAGTCTCACTTTTAAAACAGTCGATTCTTAATGATCTATTATACCCAGGGGATAATAGGCATGCACGATTCCAAAATATTTTTTAACTGTGAAATGTATTTTTATACTTAGGATTAGAAATGAGTAGTCATTATGCTGGAAACCAATAATATTTAACATTAAGAAACAAGGAAATTTGACACAGACCCTCCCCAGAAATGTATACTAAGAGGAGCTGCAGCTGCTGCGTCGGATGTCTGGTGTCTACACACGGGTTTCGTGCACAGTGTGGATGGCACCACCTCCAGCGCTCAAAGCTCTGGCCTAGAGCGGAGTCAGAGACTCACTTCTGTTGGCTTCAAGATGCTGTTCTCCCAGTGGAACACTGGGACTAGGGGTCATTAAGGATTATGGTATTTTTACAGCCTCTTCTAGCTTTTGCCAGGTGGAAAATAAAGATTCAAATTTTCAGTTGAAAGGCTACCAGTAAGATTTAGAGACAACATTTATCTTAAATAAGGTACAATGAGAATACTGAATTAATGATAGAATACGTTCTGTTTCTAGAACATTCTGTTCAAGAGCAAGATTTGAAAAGTTTCGTCTTTGTATAACCTTTTGCACAGAGCAACCAGTATTAGCAACAACGAAAACATTCATCTTGAAACAAGATAAAGGGATGATGAAGTTAAAAGGAAATAAATGCCAACTCAAACCTATTTTTTTTCATTTTTACCTATAAAGTACCTTTTGGAAATTAGCACTTTTATATTGTCAGTATGATTGTGGAAAGTTATTTGTCTTTCATTAAAAAATAATACTTATTTCAGTAACCAAATATTTTAGATGTAGAAATACTTCATCAAGGGATATAAAATCTTATTATCTCTGTAATTATTTATATATTTATACAACAGCAAACCTAAGGCCAACTTTTGGCCTTTAATTAGCAGATTGCATGAGTCTAACTTATTCTAATTTGATGGTTTAACAAAAGGTATAACGAATTCAAGTTTATCCAGCAGTGAACTACAACCACCCCCGACAATGACATCTCTGTAAATTTATATTGTAAAATAGGTTTTAAGCAAAAAAGTGACTAATATGATTCTACTAGTTTAGAACTAATAAACAAAGTTAGTGTCTGAACAGTTAGACTGAATAAAATATTCAGACCCAGGAGTCACTGCCATATGTTAACTACTTATTCTAAAAGGATACATTACCTTAGAGTTTACACTTCTATCACTTTGCTTGGATGAACAGAAAGTGAACATGTGCAATGGAATGATTCAGACTCGGTTTCTTACCAGAACCTTGATTACCTACCCCCATATAAAAAGCAAGCTACAAACTGGAACATTAGCTGGACAAACACCATAAGGAGCAATTTGGTACAGATAAGAATGAGACCAGACAATCGAATCAACAGAAAGACTGGTAGGACGCACCTGTTTTCTCTTCTCCAGTCTCTCTTGCTTTAACTTTTCTTTTTCCTTTTCCAGCTCTTTGTTTTTGACCAGAATGGTGGGTTTACTTTGAGGAGTTTTCTTGTTCAGGATTTTAGCCATGGCATCTGCCCAGCCCACATTAGTTCCAACACCAGCTTCTGCAGCATTTTCACTGTTATTGTCACAGGGGTCAACTTCATCTTCATTGTCAGCTTCTACTGCTTCATCACCAGAAGAAAAGTGATCCTTTTCCGATCCACAGCTTTCTATAGAACCTAACGGTAGAAACAAATTAAACTTTAATACCAGAGGCGGAGCTTGGCAAGGCCACGGCAAGACCCCAGGACTGTTCCTAAGGCTAACGATTCTCCATCTGTCTCCATTCTAGCAAAAGGAGACTTTTCCAAGTCGCACAGCTGCAGTAACAGTGGAGAATGGCAGGACCCTCCGTCTTACTGCCATCTAGCCCCCAAAGACCTGGCCAAGCCATGTGGACAGGAGAGGCTGCAGGAGCTTCAGCACCCAGGACCCAGGGAGCAGAAATAACCCAACAACCCCCTCTCATCCTGTTGTCAAGGTGGTGACAGATGCTGATGTGGGGCCAATGCAGGGTGTGTTCCCAACCACAGGCTTTAATTGTGTCATTAAACTACTTTAAGGGACTAATGATTATTTTGAAAACAAATAACAAAAACTTCATCAAGAGAACAGTACAATGTTTCTATGGGATAGAGCAGGCAGAGGAAGTTCTCTGAGGGCTTTGGTCCAGATGTTTAAAATTCTGAATCTGAGTGCAGAAAAATCTAAAAGCCAGCTTCCTTTCATAGAATTTGCATAGAACATGATCAAATTGGATGTTTCAACATTTTTGAAAAATAATCTAACAAAGGGATGTGTGCCCAAAATTTGACTGCACTTCTGGATGACTGAATGAAAATACCAAGTTCTGAGTTGAGGATAAGTTGTAAACTGGTGAATTTTATCATGTAGAACCACCAAAAAAAAAAACAAAAAGCATATACAGGTTATCAGCAAACTACCTCATCATGCAAGATTCAAATGCCTGGGGTCAGAGGATTGACTGAAACAACAATCCGGTTGGTGGTCCTGCTTGAAAATTAACTTGTCAAGAAGCTCTGGGCACTTGTAAGTTTTGCAGCCTTTCTTAACTTCTGAAGTTCACTGAACTCTAGCAACAAGAGCTCAAGTGCCAGCAGTCTGTGTGCATCGGTAAGATCCAGAGCTTTCTGAAGAGCTTCTGCTTTGCACTTTAGAAACCAATGGAACTTACTAGGAATAGTTCAAACAAGAAAATCGTCCAACAGCTTAGTAACTTGGAATATTTCTTAATACACAGAAAACGAGCTAACAAACAAGGATAAGAAGTGACCAAAGAAGAGGGAAACTCAGGGATATACCAACAGCTGCTGCTTCGCGGCATCTTTGGGTAATAAACGCGCGTTCTTTGGTCAACTCCAGAATTAGCTGAATCTCCAAGATTAACACAGAAAATGCCATTACCTTCAGCCTTTTCCTTCTACTAAATAACACTGTTAGTAACATAGATAAAAATTTATATGCTGACTTGTATTGAGATAAAATACTATTTAAAGTAACCCTAAAAGAGAAGAAGAAAACAGGCCTAGACATACACAGGTTTCCTGCCGCTCTTCACTTAATTCAATTCTGATGTCTTCCTACCCAAAGCAAAAACTAAACTTAGAAATTTAGAGGACTGACAGGCAACCCACAGCCCAGAAGCACCACATTTCAAGAAGTCTGCCCTGGGCCCACTTAGCCTTTGCCAAAGCTACACACCGTAACCAGGACCTCTGCTTCTACCTACGGAAAGTCCACTGACTGTATCTTTTTGTTACTTCAAAATTATCTATCTATTCTTCAACTCTAAGCCCCCATTTCTTCTTTAAATTATTTTTTAAAATGTGCATATTTTGCTTTTAAATATCCTTTGAGCCTTTTTCGTTTTGTTTTTTTTACATCAGATTATGGCTATGACCAAAGTGAAAGGAACTGAATGTACAGTCAGCTTTTTAATTCTGAGTGATTCTCTCTAATCTCTTGATTTCAAGCCATGACTTAAGAGAGAACTGCTGAAGACCTGACTTTTAGCTAGTCATCATCATACTTGCAGTCTTGGTATTACTTCTGCATAATACTTTTATTTTTTCAGGGCTGAGAATTCATGAAATAAAAGGATGAAAAACTAAGTATTTAACACATTTCAAACAAAGACTTGTTAACATATTAGAAAATAACAAATAAAAGTACATAGAACTTTATACATATACAAAAATGAGCCTCAAGAACAGGAGTAAGGATGAAGTACCTTCAAAAAATTAACAGAATACATAAAATTAGAGTTGAACACAGATAGCAAAATAATACTTCACATTTTTAAAAAGCATGATCTTAAAACAAAGTATATTAATGGTATCAAAAACTATTAAAGAAAATGATAAAGAAGTAAGAAATCAATAATAATTCTACTGCTCTGATGTGCTACATACTTCTTAATATAGAGAAAGAATTTTTTAAAGAGAAATTAATTTGCCACTTACTTAATTTGAAGCCTTCTCTGCATTCTGTATACCAGACAAATTTAAGAAATCTTAGAAAATGAGTAGAATCTGACATGCAAATCTAGGTGATGTAAGAATTCTATCACTGCCCACAGTACAAAAAGAAAGCACCTAAATTTTGGCAATAAACGCTGAAAGCACTGTCACTCAACCCAACGAAAATCTGAATGTCTATTATATACCAGATTCCACAGTCACACAGCTTTTCCCAAGAAGTATCTCCTAGAATCAGTGTTCCCAGGAAAGTACTTTGAGAAACACAGCTCGGAGAATGTAGTTAGCTGAAAAATAAATATGTTAATATTGCGTATGTTTTATTCCTCAGAGTCAGAAGCACTACACAGGTACTGATAAAAAAATAAACAATTCTCTGAAAAGCACCTCTACTAAGTAAGCATTTATCCAAATGCAAAGAGGCATGCAGGCTTAAAAGCTTATGTCACTGAAGAATATCTGGGTGATTAAAAGCAGAGGTCTTTACTAGCTACCGGTAAAATGTCAAAACTGCAACACTGACATCTAGTGTTTTGTCCTGATGAATTCACACACAAATTGCTGTGAATTTCACATTTTTCACCTGCACTGTAAACGCAGGCAAGGGCTTTATAGTTGGATAAGCCACTCCAATTCCCCATTTCTAAACCTTGGCTATTTTTCTTTGGTGTGTGTCTTACCTAGTATGAATACCACAACATGCATAAACCCGTGAGGTTTTAGATAATACCATTTCATACAACATGCCCTTTCCCCACCAATTAAAAAAAAAAATTCCTGAAGAATTTGCTGAAGTCACAGTTCTTATTATTTTTTTAAGCTCTAGCTCAGAAGTTTTTAGTCACACGTTCACTGCCAATGGAAATGTTATTTTATACAAATAAATTTTAAATGTCAATATAATGAGGTCTTCTAGCATACTACAAAAGATTTACTTCCAGGAGACCAAAGATAATTACTATGCAAATCAGAAAACAGAACTGGTCCTTAAAAATTTACTATAGCCCATGAACAGGAGATTTTTTTGAATTTACCACTGATATTTAACAGAACTTAAGTGAATATATCCAGGGAACCAGGTAAGCACAAAATTCCTCTGGAATCCTGTGTGCTATTTTAAACATTAACGCTAATTCTGCATTGTTTTAAAAATCTAGAAATTAAGGGCTACAACAAATGCTTAATGTAAGTAATAACTAAAGGTTTCAACAGAACTCTATGCATTCACAGAAATGTTCTATTATCAGAGCTGCCCACCAGCCACCAGCCACATGAACCTACGAGTACTTCAAGTGTGGCAGGTACCACAGCTACTGAATTTTTAACTTTATTTAATTTCAATTAAATTAAAGTGGCTAGGGCATGGTCAGACCTCTGAGGTAATGAGGGAGACGCAGGAATCTCCCATCTCTTGCTGCCTTCCCCCAGACTTCCACCAGCCTTTCAAACTTGCCATCTGTCCCTGATCCCAGACATGGTTCGCTGCTGGCAGGAAAGTGAGCCATTTTCCTTAGCCTTTGGAACTGGGATAAAGTGTTTTAAGAAGACTCACGGTCCCTCAATATTTACCGAGTACTCAAGAATGATGACAAAGGAAGGGCAAAATAAAAATTCAAATTCTAGGTCTCCTTGAAGAAGTCAAATGTTTAGTAGGACAGATAAATCAGTTAACCAACTGTAAAATCCGATTTTACAATTTATATAATTTGTAAGCATTCTTCTAAAAGAAAAACAATGAAAAAAGGATGACCGCTTGGGGGTATCTTTTACAAAGATGATATTCAAGTTGTTTCTTAAAGGTAAAGCAAGAGTATGAATGACAAGAGAAGGGAACAGATTCTACAACCTAGGCCAACTGAAAGAGGCAGCGGCAAGATCACTGAATCTAGAACCAAAAGCATCCAAGACTTGAGTCAATGCTCTGTATTAAAATGAAAATTATTAGTGTTATCAACATTACTATTGACGTCCCAGGGAGAGGAAACCAGCATGCCCAAAGGTAGGGGAATGAAGAAGGTAAGATATTTACAAAATAACAGGAAGCTCACACTGGCTGAAACTGGAGATTTGGGGATTGGACGGGAAGAAATGGGTACGAAGAAGCTGTTGGTTTATATTAAAAAGCCAGTCTGATTTATGATCCAAGAAATAACATACATCAAGTTCCAAACTAAAATAAAAGCAGTTTAAAACTTCTGCACTCCAGGTGTGCGTGTCCAGTAAGCGGCCAAACCGCTAGTGCCTTTTTCTCCTGCCACTTACCTAAGGTCCTTTTTTTTTTTTTAAGTTTCTCTATTGGGTTGAGAAGGCTTTTTCTTTTTTTTTAAGTACAATTATCATCTGGGAGCAACAACGCTACTGATTAACTGTGAATTTACTTCACATCTTTAGGATTTACTCTAAATCAAATAGGATTCTCAAGAAAGCTTGACTGAGATCCATTAGTAGTGGTTAATGAGTAAGGACACATAATAGCTGCCTGATTCAATCTTAACTCCAGACACAAATCCACACGAACTTTCTGAAAGTTTTAAAGTTCTCCACCCTAGTTTCCTCCTCTGTAACAATGGCAATAAAATAGTATCACTTCACTGGGGTTTTGTGATACTTAAATGAATTACTGTATACAAATTTCTTAAAATGAGTGCCTAGCCCACAGTAAGCATCAATCAGATACCACACACAAACACACCCATGATGTACACACAGGACACACACAGTGAGAATTTAAATGTGGTTGTGGAGGAGAGGAGAGGAACAAGGACAAGGAAGCAATGCGCCGAGGGCTGGAATCCACAGGACATGTGCCATGTTGATGGGAAGCTCTGGATGACCAGACAGTTACAGCACAGGGGCTGAGACCTCAGATGATAAAAGCAGAGAGACCTGGCATTATGTCCTGCTTCCATTACTTTCTACCAGTGGAATCGTGGGCAAGTTACCTAATTCCTCTGTGTCTCAGTTTCTTTTCAGTAAAGTTGGGATAAAAATAATACCTACCTCACTGGCTGTTACGACAGTTCAATGAGGTAATGCGTGACAAGCACTTAGCACACCCCTGGCACACAGTGGGCACTAAGCAGATGATGGTAACCAGAGCACATGGGCACCTGAAGGCCCGAGCTGATGAATTTGAAAAGCAAAAAGGATGCCAAAGTACAGAGAGGGTAAAATGAATTTTACTTTCATTACAACTCTACCCACAGTCTTGCTTATAGTCTATAACCCACCTGCCAGAGATTCATCGTGAGCAACCCACCTTTGCCTTTATTTTGGAAGTGGTCAATGTCTCTGCCCCACAGCTTTCAGAGCACTCTAAAATACGGATTAATACCAAGTAACCAACATGTATTTAGGGCAGAGTACTATTTAAAACACTTTTTATGTATAATCATTTTATCGTCACAACACCCTCTGAGTTGCTCTTATTATTTACAAAAGGAATGATTCTGACACTTAGAAAAGCTGAAAAAAAAAAAAGCCCAAAGTCACAAAGTTAACAGGGTAGGGGTGATGGGGCTGCTGACTTCTAAGGTACTACAAAGCTGGGCACCAGACGTTCAAGTCAGACTAATGTATACTGAACTAAAGCAGAAAATATTCATAAAAGTTTAATAAAGCTTGAATTAAAAAGGAATTTCTATCTAAGCCTCAGTTAACCAGAGCAGCCATTCCTTAGGCCCATTCTCATTCTGCCCAAGAACACACACACACACACACACACACACACACACACACACACACCACCACCACCACCAGTTATTCAGAGCTCTGTGAAACTATCGTTCCCACTTTAGGAGTCAATCATCTGCTCTGCTCATGCCACGCGATCTTCCCTGTCTTTCTTACTATATTTAGAATATTCAAAATTGATGCTTGAAAACTTTTTAAAAAGCATTTACCTTTGAGAAAAATGAAGTCACCCCAGGTCTCCATAAAAATAACCAAAAATAAAATTAAAGTTTAACCATGGGACAAACTGTCCGATGTGATTACTATGTGCTATCTGGGCAAGCCAGAGCAGCCAGAGCCTGGAAGTAGTCTGCTTCCTGAGTCTGTCGTATAAATTGCTAAACCACTCAAGGAGGACTATGACATACTTCATTTCTGAAGCATGTTCCTTTGCTATTTTAAGTAACTCAAACGATTAAGGAGACTATAAGCGACAGTTTGATGAAAAGCACATTTATCTGCTAGGTTATTATATCCTAAATACAGCTTTGTAGTTTATCAAAAATGAAGGGATAGCTCCTAGATCTTCTAAACTGGATTGTTGTAACTCTGGTGTTAGAAGTACATGGCCATTTTTCATGTATGTGGCCAGAACAATTCAGAAAACATGAAATTACCATTCCTTCCTCTAGTTTATGGGTCTATGGGCACATTCTATGAGGGAGGGGTCAACACATCATGGCACTGACCAAGGCTTTTTTCACTTGAATTGATTTACTGACTACAGAGCTTTTCTTCTTCTTCTTTTTTATTTTAAAGACTACAAGCTTAAGAAGCAAGTAAGCCTTGCGTCTAAACTTCCAACCACGCATAAATTCAATAAATCCAAGTAGTTCAATGATAACTTAGAGACAGAGGTTATCATTTTCCTCTTTATAATACTTGATATCATCAGTCAGTGGTTTTATTTTTTCACCTGAGTTGATTTACCGACTGGGAAAACTGTGTGCTTGTATTTTCTGTTTAGACTACAAACTTAAGAGCCAACAATCCATTGTATCTAAACCTCCAACAAGGTGTCAGTTCAATAAATCTGAGTAGTTCGAGGTTAACTCACTAGGGATGTCATCCTCTCCTTTAAAATGCTTGACATTTACCTGTTACTAAAATGCTGACTGTTGCATTTTACCCTCCACATTTCTCTGATTCATGATCACCTGCAATTTTACTATGACCAAATTTCAGTCCCTAATGAAGAGTACTACAATTTACCACAACCTCAGTCTGAATCATTCTGCTATCATTCAAGTTTACGTCACAATTAAGTAAAAGTGATAACTGATTTCTAGAGATAACACATGGATGTTAGGAGGAAAACAAGAGAGAGAAAGGAAGGAAGGACAGAAGGGAGGAAGGATGAGAGAAGAGAGGAAGGAAAGAAGACCACAGTTAATTAACAGTGGAAGGAGTGCTACAGAAATCTGATCACAAAAACATCCCACAGTGATGGAACCTTCTTGAGGGGAAGAAATATTTGTCTAAATACTAAGGCCTCCTCATACCCAATCCTTTCTTAAGATTCCATGCCCCTGGCCTTTTACTTTCTGGATAGGCTTTTTTTTTTTTTTATCATCTATATCTCCCTGGTTCCTCAACCCTATCAGGGGAGTTATTGGTCGTAGTCCAGAGCAAACTTCAGTAACGGCTGTGTCATTTATCAACTTGTTTATCAGCTTACGTATTAGAGGAGCAACTTATAACCTCCGTGTCCCAGTTCCTTGTGAGTAAACTGAGGATAAGAATAGTATCTATTTCATGAGGTTGTTATTTAATTAAAGTGATTTGTAGAAGAAGCTTTGAACAGTACCTAGTACAAAGTAAAGCTCAATTATCATTACCTAATTATTATCATTACCTAATTCTTCTAACATTACAGTACACCCAAAATTTACGGTGCTGCAAGTTTATTTGGAAGTTGGCTGTGAGGAAAATTCAATGCTTTCCTTCCAAAGAACACTTCAAGTGGGGATCTTCCCTCTGTCTTCACTGTCCAATCCTAGTGCAACCCCTAACAGAGTTTTGCAATTGCCTACTTGTTCTGACACTCCATGGCAGTCTTATATAGTCAGCAGTGACGCTCGTAAGTGTCACTCTCTTGCTTGAAAGGTCTCAACAGCTCCCTATTGCCTACAAAGTGGGAATCCGACCTCCTTCATACGATACACAAGGCCCTTTACAATGTGGCTTTGTCTTCTGTTTTGAGTTTCAGCAACTCCTGTGAGAGCTAGAATCAAAGACAAGAGTTCATTCTGCCCTAACTAGCCCATGCATTTTAAGAGACTGCATGCCACTGTATGGGCTTTTCCCTACATCTGAGAAAACTGTCCTCTCCACCCCTAGGCTTGGAAAACTATTCATCCTTCTAAGGCCTAGATGAAATGACACCTTATTTACCTACTCCACAAGAAAATTTAGTACCAAAATGTGCAAGGAAGGCCCTATGAAAATTAAGGTAAATGAGACATAGTTCCAGCACCTGAGAAACTTCTATATATAAGGGGAGAGACATGTTAAAATAAAATAAGTGCTATGTATAAGATAGAAGGAAGTAATGCTAAGCTGGGCTCATGTATACCATCCGTTTTCCTCTTTTGGCCTTTTGCTCTTCCCTCCCTATGAGACCTATCTCATTCTGGGCAATTTCAAATACCCCCTTCCTTTCGCCCTTCGCTACTGTAAGTTTCTTTTTTGCTGCTGTAAGAAATAGCAGTTTCATCTGTTTTAAATTAGTTACAGTGATGACGAAAATGTCTAGTAAAAGAATGTGGAAGCTTTAACACTCGACTGCATCCTTCCCCTGAACATCCACTTCCCCAAGAATTCTCACGAAGCTAAAGCAGCCCCTTCGACACCCTGAGAAGATCAAATTCGGGCGGCCAGCGGCAAATGCACTGGCATCCCCTGCTTCCCGCAAACTCAGCCCGGCCTTTCCTCTGAGAAGTCAAAACTCAGCCCTTAGTCGGTTACCTCCATTATCCGAAGCGTCTTTGTCCTTATCGTCCAGCTCCGGTGCTACAGCCCTGGCTACCATTTTCATTTTCTTCTTCTTTTTCAGTGAATTTTTCAGCTTTTTCCCCGCACTCACACGTGAATCCTCAACGGCCGCCGCCATGTTTCTTCACCGGAAGCGTCCCGCGAGAGTTGTGTCCGGGGGTAATAAATGTAGCTGCCGAATCTAGTTCCGGGAATACAAGGTTCCGGGGCGGGGCCATCCAGCTGGAAACTGGCGGGCTGGAGCCTCAGAATGTGGATTGGAAAGAGGGCTGGGTGGTGGTAAGTGCTGTCTGCTAAAGTTAAAAAAAGAAAAAGAAAAAAAAAGTCAGTGAATAAACGTTCTCCATCGACTCTGCCAGCTCGCCCTTGTCCTGGTACGCCGCCCCACTCCGGCCCCAACCCGGCCCGGTCCACTTTCATTTCCTCCTCAGGGCCGTCTCCTTATCTGCTGTTTTATTTCATGTTTTGTTTGTTTGTTTGTTTGTTTTAGCGTGTTCGACGAAGCTCCTTTACGTGCCTACCAAACACGCTAGAACGTAGAACGCGAGGAAAAATGCACTGGGGATTGATAATAAGAATATGAGAATGTCATCCCCTCTCCCTGGACCACCACCAGCAAAGATTCACAACACAACACGCGAGATTTTTCTTAAAATTCTGATCAGGTAACCGCCGTCTGATTAACCCTTTGGGTGGTTTTCAATTGCAAACCGAATAGAATCTCGTTTTCTTCCCCTGGGTCGCGGGTGTTAAGCGTTCCAGCCCCATCCTCCTTCCTCCGACCTAGCTGTGACCCCGGAGGCTTGCAGCGCCCGAGGCACGGTGTCCACCGAGAATGCAAAAAGCTTTGCCCTCGGCGAGCTGCCCCTGCCTTCCCCCGGGGGCCCCTTCTCCCTGCGGTCAGCCTTTGTCACTGCTTTCGCATCCCGCCTTCCCTCGAAGCTGCTACCACAGCCTGCCCCTATTTTCTTCCCCTAACTTGGCTCCTTGGCAGTAAGGACCATATTTCATTCACCATTCTACCCCCCAAGGCTAGCAGTGGGGCCTGGCCCGTGGTAAGAACTCAAAAATATATTTTTGGAAGGGATGAATGAATGATAGAGTGCAACCATTCACAAGTCCCCCGGATAATGTAGCAAACCCTTCCCTCGTGTTCCATGGGCCAGGCATAATCTAGAGGCTTTCTCTAAGCTTAGCGTTTTCCTGGAAGGGCACTTCTTGGTTTTTAATACTCAGAATTTCTAAAGGAGTTCGAACCTTTCAGTTGGACATGTTCTAGTTGATGATTATGTAGGGCAAAGTTGTATTTACATCCTCCAAATTCAATACATTGTAAATAAAGCTGTACAGGAAAAGTTACATTCCAATTATAATTGGCAAAAGATCAAATTCCAGCATAATAGTTGAACCTTTTGAAAAGCACAGCTATTGTCCACAGGAGAGGTGCATCTCAGGGTGCCTCTTTGGATACTGCTGGTGCCCAGAAGTTCTCACCATCCTGTGTAAGCCTTTCACTGCCCCTGTGTGTTGGTCTGGAACCTGTGTCCTGCTAACATTCATATTTAGCCCTTGTTTTTGCCTAGTGTTATACAATGAGTTAAAAACAAAATTGGGAAAGCATTGAAGAAGTTGTAGAGAAGGAAACTAAAGTAAGAGAGAAAAATGATTACAGCGGAAAGGGAGATGTCTAGCAAAAGAGGTACCATTTGTTAATATTAATCGGTAATCAGGAGTGAGTGATGTTTTCAGCATTTTATGTCTTTATATGGTTTATTTATATACAGGGATTTACTACATTCAGTTGCAGTTTAAGAAATTGCTTGGGAAGTTGGTTGATCTATTATACAGGTTTTCCTGCAAAAGCCTGATTTTCAGAAAGGGATTGCTACTATTAAATGAGAGATTCCTGTATTAACTACTTAATCTTCACACTAAGCCAGTAAGTTAGGTACTCTTGTTCCCATTATACAGATGAGGCACAAAAAAAGCTTAAATAGTTGCTCAAGTTCATAAAACCAGTAAGTGGCAGAATCACATCCAAACCTAAGTAGCCTGCTCCAAGGTCTGTTCAGCTGCCTAGCTATATTGCCTTCTCAGATTGTTGCGTTTTAGCATTTTGTAAGTATGTACTGAAAATAGATCATGGAAATTTCTGGCACCACTAGAATTCATAAATTTAAAAAATAAAAAACAGAAAACAAAAAAACCACCTCTGCCCTTAAAATGAACTAAAATAATTGACAGGATGCTAATAGAATGTCCACTGTATGATGGAAATAACTGAAGTTATGTATGTACTAGGATGAGAATTTGTGCATACTTGTGATGATTATCAGTTTATTGCCTGTCAGCTCTGCATTCACCCTTTTTGGCTGCTCTGGGAAAATGTAGTTGAATCCTTTAAATATTTCTCTTTTTTGCCTACTAGCAAGCTGTTAACCTTTGTCAGTAGAGGGCACTAGAGTGACATTGTAAGAAAAAAATTGTTCCTGGAATATCATTGGCCCTAAGGAAACCTTAGTGTCTTTGTTGGAGAAGAGTTTTCCTCTCAGTATCAGTATTTTCTGAGCTTGCTGTTGAATAAGGGTCACAGCTGTAAAACTAGATGTTTAGGATGGCTTTGGATCAGAAGTAGGTCCCAGATGGCTACCTGTCCATTAAGGTTCTTTAATGTGGAAATATTAATAAAATCCCTGGAACTGCAATCTCACATTTAGTAAACCCATCAGTAATATTCTTGCTACACTTGGCACATCCACTGATGATCTGTGTCTCACTCACAGGAAAACCAACAAGAATGAAATTGTATATTTTTTACTTTGTAATGGGATTAGGTAATGGCCCAATTATGTTCAGCCTCACCTAGTAAAGGGTCTGTCTAATTAGTGGATAGAAGTTGCAGGGAAGCTATGACCTTTTGTTCCTTCTTTTACTAATGGAAAAGGCATTCCACTGTGTGAGAGTGGTCATAATGAGACTGTTACTGAAATCCACTAAATAGGGTAATAAATATATTCTGACGCCTGTTGATTTTTCTGTGAGATAACCAGGAGATCATTCTGTGGACCTCAGCAAGTGCTCAGACTGTGGCATACTCATCAATGATATATATATATATATATTTTTTTTCCTTTGTACTTGGGGTTCTTCCTTGAGTCTCCTTGTAAAATAGGGATCAGTGGAAGGATGGGAGCCACTGTGACAAGCTTCTAGTAATCCTGCCCCCCAGAAAAACAGATAGATGATCAAAAGGCACATGTGTGGCCTGAGTTTCACTTCAAAAGGAAATACAACCAGTGTCCTTCACAGACAGTTCCAAGGTCAACCTTAATAAAAATTGCAGAGTTAGAAATCATAATGATGAGCAATAAGTAATAAGCAAAGAAGGCTCCTGCATCAGAAGAAGGATGTAACCAGTTGGAATCAGATGAGTAATAACAGGGAGGCCTGCTCTGCTGGTTCATCCCCAGGCCTTGAGCAGGGTCAAACAGAATAGTGACAACAGTCAAAAAAAGGTACATGGCAAGATTACTAATGCTACTTGCATTCTGCTTCCTAATGCCTCTTGAATCTATCAGGTTCTTTCCATGCTGCTGCCACTGTCTTGGTCAAAACCCCCATTTTCCCTCCAGTGGACTTCTTGCAATGGCCTTCCAGATGGTCTCCCTGCATGGATTCAGCAGGTAATGATTTTGTCAAAATACTAGTCAGGTCACAGTGATCTCCTGTTCTTCATGATGTGACCTTCAAGGCCCTGCAATGGCCAATGGCCGAGTGGTTCTCAATCCCAGAAGTTTGTCCCCCAAGGGGCCTTTTGGCAGTATCTGGAGACCTTTTCAGTCCTCACATTGGAGTGTATTGTTGGCATCTAGCCATTGTGCTGCCAAACAGCCACAAAGCACAGGACCAAATTTCACATCAAAGAATCTTCTGGCCCCAAATGTCAATAGTGCCAAAGGTGAAAACCCAACCCTAGTCCCTGTCCACCCCTTACCCTCCTCTTGGACCTCCCTCCTCCTGACTTAACGTTTCAGTCATGCTGGATTTTTTAAAAGTATATTTTATTTTATTTTTTTGCAGGGGAGAGGTAATTAGGTTTACTTATTCATTTTATTTTTAGAGGAGGTTCTAAACCCAGGACTTTGTGTATGCTAAGCATGAGCTCTTCCACTTAAGCTATACCCTCCCCACCCCATGCTGGATTTCTTTGTTCACAAATTTTCGATCTTATCTCCCATTTTCAGTCCTTTGTGTATGTTATTTTCCCTGGAGGATAGGTTCTGTCCCCTACAACTCTTCCCACTCATCATCTAAATGTTACTCTATGAGTCCCTTCCACAGGGACACCTTGTCCAACGTCCACCCAGACTCTTACATACTCACAAGCATAGTTAGGATCATCTCCAAACCTGGGCAGGGCTGATACTAAAATCTCCAGGCTTGGCCGCTGGCCAGGGAGCGGGCTGTGGTGGACAGCGGTTCTGGAGGGGTGCAAGCAGACGTGGCTGAGTGCAGACCCGTCCTACCTGGAGTTTTCTCATTGAAATTGCTCCTAGCAGCATTATTTACAGTTGCTAAGGTCTGGCAAGGAGAACTCACCATAACAGAAGCTGTGGACATGAGTAACTATGCCAGTCCCACAAATCCTATGCCTTTTTGAATTAATTTAATTTAATAAAACCATAATTTACAGTTTACTTTGTAATCTGAACTTGTTTTTTTAGAATAATAAAGAAAGTCCAGATATTGAAGGAAAAAGGTTTTTTTTTTCCTGCTGAGATTGGAATGGTAAGAACTAAAAGAGAAGAAAATTATGTCCCCGAAATTATATCTAAATAGCAAGAAGCAGATCAAATGCTTTCTGCATTTTTAGCATCTTCTTATTGTTTCTGCAGCTAAAATATTTTTTAAAGAGAGGGTTATTGATAAGAAAAAAAATTAACCCCAAATAAAGTTCTAGTCATTGGAAAGGTCTTCTTCAACTGTCTTTGCTAAAATAGAGAACTTAAGTGGAAAAAAACAGGAAAACGACATTAAAGTTGACATGGGAAGCACCAGTTTCCATGAAAATGCTCCCATCTCATCTGCCTCCTTCCTTGTACTGTTACGTTTCCTGCAGGGCAGTGTTGCTATTGTTTTAATGGCATATAAATCTATTTACATGAGCAAGTTCAAATACTAATGCCAATCAGTAGGAAGGACTTAACAACTTCCTGTCCCTGGAGGCCATTCCAGGACACCAGGAAATGCACAACCACGTCTGGATTCTGGAGAAGTGTTCTGTGTCCCCGCTGTGGTCAGCTCTGCTTGGGAAAGAGGTCTTTCCTCCCTCTCTCGAGGGAGGCCATCCCCAGGCCTCACTCTCCCATTCTTTATTTGCATGCGCTAGCCTTTTTATTGCAAATAGGGCTCTAAATCTTACTTTAGAATGGATACGGCAGGGTATGCGGGCGCCTGTGAGAGAGAAGCTATCAATAATGTTAGTTATGAAAACCTGATCATAAGTGTTTTTAGTCCATTAGCCATTTCACTTTATTTATGTCCCCTTTCAGGCAGGATTTGAAGCCAATATTCAAAAGATGAAGTTTGGATGAAGAGCAACACAAGAGGGTATAAAGCACTGTCACATTTTTTCATGCTAGAAAATATTTCTTCCTTATGTTATTTTTTTAAACAGCTCCTAACAATAAGTAACCTCTGGGGGAATAAGGAATGCAGAAAGAGGAGCTGGGCCAAGCGTCACAGGTGTTAATATCTATCTGTCTGTCTGTCTATCTATCTATTATCTGTCTGTCCCTTTTCTATCATTTCATTTAATTACCTTTAACGAACATTACCAAATTCGAAAAAATTACTTATTATGCCCCCAATAAATGTCTCTACAGGCACTTTTGACACATCTTGCTCCGTTTCAACTCCTAACAGAAATTTAGCTCACGACTTATTAATACGTCCTCTTTGCTCTTATTTGCTGCTTTATCTTGTAGACAGCATGCAGTCTGCACAGTTGAACCTGCAAGGAGAAGGTCTCCGTGCCTTTTCCTGGTGTACAGTGGCCGCCAACTGCTGAGATTGCTAGTGTGTGGTTACCAATTTAATGTATCCCCGAAGCCACTGCCCGATCCTGCTGCAGTGAGAAGCACGTGGGAATGTCAGCTCAGGGACTTCCCTCCAAGCTTCCCGGCCCCCGAGCTGGAGGTAGCAAGGCTGTGGCGATCATGTCCAGAGATCTGTTCCCATTTCGCAATGCCCAGAGAGAGCAAGAAGAGAAAACAAGACGAGCAAGGAAAAGGGTGTCTTGAGTAATCTAACTTTCTTTTGTATTAAAACACATGATAATATAAATGCAAGGGAGAATGCATTTCCTTCAGGCGGTTAATAGGCATTTGGGGGTCTTCTAAGAAAAGAATCAAGTGTTCAAAACCAGTAAGCAATGTTGTAGCTCAGTGTTGGGCCCGATGCCTCATTTGAGCTCGGCACACTTAAGAGTTAATTTCCATTAATGACAATGCAGATACGATTTTAAATCCTCGTGCAGACCCAAGTGAAGGCAAACACCAGCTCCCTGAGTCACCTAGTCCTTCTCTGTGGAATCATTTCTAATTGAATGTTCAGATCAAAGTTTAAGTTTATAAGAAAGAAAAACAAGTGCAGATAAATAGTTATTATCCAACATCCTTATGAAAATTCATGACCTGCCGCTTTATCGGGGACCTTATAAGAAATCTAACTGTGTAGTGTGCAGAGCTATTAAGTGGCTAGTACACTTCAGTCTCTTGATAAGAAGTGAGTTAAATAATTGTCCTGTTTAACTTGTGCTTGTTAACCTTTAAGGTCAACTAGTTTGAACATACGTTTAATGAAATCCTGGAGCCAGAATTTATGATACTGCTGCTGAATGTTAAATTGGACAATTTACATAAGCAGGACATTAACCTTCTGAGCACTAAATAGCATTTTAGCACTTAGCCGCTGGGGACAATAAGGGACATGTTCTATATATTTGTGATTAGCTTGCCTGGAAACTCTCATGATGACCAATTGGCCTACCAAGTTTAGCAGCATAATTAAATGAATGGACTCAGCCTAAGTAAATTATCAGTGCTGTGTACAGTATATCATTATAGTCCGAAGGAGAAAAAAAAGATATGAATAATTTAATAATACATTACTAATTTATCAATGCTAAGTGATTTTGAGGAGGCTCTTTGTAGTTCATTGCTTTAAATTTGATATTTGATTTACTGCTCAGATGATGAAAATTGAACCTATTTCATTTCTTACCAGAAATATATAGAAGCAGTAGATGTTATTCTTTTTTTGAGGTGAGAGGTGTGGTGTTTTCAGCTTTGGTGTTATTACAAAATAGCCACTACTGTGCACTGATTAGCAGGTAAGCTAGTAATTTGTCACAATCAGATGTCTGCAGTCCCTACTCCTTGGTAGCCTCCCCGGGGGAGGGCACTAACCCCTGAGTTGTTCATGAGCCCAGCTTGCTGCCTAGCAGCAATTATCATTAGAAGCTCAGAAGGGTCAGGCACCAGGGAATGCAATTTGCACTTCACCTAGGACTGTTCCTGCTGATTGTGGACAATCAGTCCACTGGGCTGGCTGTCCGGGAGTTGCCTTCAGTACATGCAGTCTAATATTTGGGTGTATTGAACTTTAATGGCCGAGTACCTGTTTGAAGAAAGAGTATGTTACCCTGAAGTCAGGTGGGGCCCCTGCCCGTTAGACTTCTAAGGTACACCTGGCCCAGATCTCAGTCCACGTCTGTGATGGTCCAAGACTCTACCTTTTATTCCGGAGAGGTTCTAGGTTTGTACTTCCTGTGCTTCTCGTTCTTACTCTCACTCTCATTTTCTCGTCCCTTATGTCTCCTGAGACCCCATGAATGTTGTATTGAGCCCTTTTACTGGCTTCTCCTCAATCTACTCACCTCTGCCCTCTTGTGGTTCTAATGACCGGAGGGATGGTGGGGTCCCGCTGCTGAGCCCCAGTCTTTCCCTAACCTCAGCCTTCATCCACTGCCCTCGCCTCTTCACCTTCTTCAAAGACACAAGACTGTTTCTCTCTGTCTTGCCAAGGTCCCTGTACATTTCCCTTCTATCCCAAAGGAGCACCCAAGTCTTTCTCCGAACAAATATTTCCCCCTTTCTAAAGGGGGAATCATAAATGTTTTCACATCACAAAACAATAGGAATACGGTACAGAGAATGGATATTTGGCAAATGTCTGGTTGATCTCCTTGATGGAGAAAGTCAGACTGTGTATGTGAGGTCTTCTCTTTCTGACTGCGTGGCTTCCTAATCTGAACCAGAGCCTGCTTCACCAGTGAGCAACAACAACAAAAACAATAATTACTTGCATTTTTACACTTCAGAGCATGCTTTGCTCTATGTATATTATCTCATCTCAACCTCAGGAACCTGGGAGATGCCATCATACCAATTTCTCGTAAATGAAATTGTAACTAAAAGATGAAGTACCTTACACAAACTCTGCCCTGCTAGCGTGTGATGGGCCAAATTTAAATTATCTGTTTCCAAGTTCAGTGCTTCTAGATTGACATGGCTCGTGTATTCCAAACGTTGTTCAGGTCCACAAACATTAATTGCACACTTGTTATTATTCATTAATGCTAAGATGTTTTTAAGTAATTTATGTACATGATAAAAAATGAGAAATTATAAATATTTACATAGTAGAATGTAGTCTTTCTCTTTTCTCTGAATCACAGTTAACCTTCTCCACAGACAACACCAGGATCTTGTAGAGTTTTCCAATGATAATCTATTTTGCATAAATTTTTATGTCTGTCCTTTAAAATCCATTTGGTAACATACTGGTCATACTAGTCAGAATTTTTTCATTTAACAGTATGTCCTGATGACTGATCTGTATTAGCACACATTAATCTGTTTAATTTCTTTTCATGATTATACAGTACTCTACTGTATGTATTTGTCATAATTTATTTATTCTTTTGGTTCCATTGAAACTTAC